TATTTCTATGAATATATTTCTATTCTCTCACATTTATTCTTTTCTTGGGATTTAAAACGGCCATACATGAAAAAAAAAAGAGGAACACGCATTTGAAGGTGACCATCTAGGAAGGACATTATATAAAAACGAATCAAAAACGAAAAAAAAAAACATTATTATTATTATTATTATTATTATTATTATTATTATTATTATTATTATTATTTATTTTATTTATTTATTTATTTATTATTTTCTAACTTCAATGAGTTCAGCTGTTGCCTTTTCTGTACGCCAAACTCTCGTGCCGGTGGTGGGGTGGGGTCTTCTCTTCCCTGTACGCCGTGTCTATTGTGTTGGACAGAACTACGCAGATCACGCTAAGGAGATGGGTGGAACTGTATCCAAAACCAATCCATTCTTCTTCACCAAACCACCAGATGCCATTACCAGCAATACCACGAATCACACCTCATCGATGGAAGTCAACGCGAAGTATCCCCCGCAAACAGAGAATTATCAACACGAAGTGGAGTTAGTAGTGGCGATTGGCCCCAAACGCGGAGCTAAAAGTAGTGAAGATGCGGGAATAAAGTACAGTGCACTCTCTCCTAAGGAAGTACAGAATATTATTTACGGCTACGCTGTGGGTCTAGACATGACAAGACGGGATCTGCAACTGCAGGCAAAGACGAATGGAAAGCCGTGGGATTTGGCAAAAGGTGCGGATGAAAGTGCCCCACTTTCTGCGATTGTGCCTGTGGAAGTTATTCAGAAACAGAATGCCTTATTGTTTTATACAAGTGATGAGGCCTGTAAAGAGATGGTGACAGAAGGTACTGGAATACCTGCCGTCCTACGCCGAGGGGCGGTGAAGTTGACTGTAAATGGTACACCTCGTCAAGAGGGGAATTTAACATCCTTTGTTACTCCCATTGATGAATTAATCTCTATCTTGTCAAAATCAGTTGATTTGGCACCGGGTGATCTTATTTTTACTGGAACTCCTTCAGGTGTCTCCGCTGTAAAGCCTGGTGATGTTATTAAAGCATCCGTAGAGGGCGTTGGAGAACTAACAGCTCATATCTGCAGTACATAAATGATATTATTATGAATATCTATATAGGTATAGATATGTACGATCGGTTCTTTCTTGCTACATTAATGAATGCATGGTATATGAGGATGGATATTTGTCTTTGTTATTTCTATTTGATAACTAGTACCTTTTATTTATTTTATTTTTACTTTTGCTTTCTTTAATTATTTCTGTTTTGGATGTTTCTGGGATTTTGTGAGGGAAAACGAATCATCTTTAACGATATTAAGATAAAGGTACAAAAAAGAGAAGAGAAGAACATGATCTTTTTTTTTTTTGTGGGATTTTTCTCGGTATAGATATTGTGAGGAGGGTATTATTATTGTTTTTTTTTTTTTTAGAGTATGAGTACTCTTCTTAAAATTACTGATAATGGTGTTCTCCATTGGAAAAAATGAATCTATATAATCTTTACAGAGATTAAGATAAAAAAAAAAATACTATTGTTATTTTTTTTTTTCTTCTTTTTTCTTTTTTTTTTTTCTCTGTTCTTCTTTGAGGGGAAAAAGTAAGGCATATAGAGTATTCTTTTACTTTCTTTTTTTTTTCCTTTGGATCTTGATTAGTTGATTATTAAAGGAGTAAGCCCAACTGGTGTGCAACGTGCTGAAATTGTGCTACCACAGTGAAAAAAAAAAAATAAAAGGAAGGAAAAAAGAAAAAACATTACACAATAGTTCCTCAAATAATTATCAGTACTGCCGTGTACTGTTAAGGTGTTTTCATTTCACACCTCCTCTCACTTTTTTCATCTGAGTTGGTGTCTGCGTGCTTAGTTTGCTTGATCTCTCTCACTCACTCAGTGTGTGTGTGTGTGTGTGAAAGAGGGAAAAGAAAAAAGAGAATAGGGATTTCATCATTAGTCGTTGGTTTTCCTTTTCTTCTTTTCTTTTCTTTTCTTTCTTGCTAGTCGTTGGCCTACACTTGTTTCCTTGTGGGGGGCGAGGATCGTGTGTGCTTTTCACTACACTCTAGACCGAGCCCAAACTTATTTATTTATTTATTTTTTTTTTATTGATTTTATTTATCTGTTGCCCACTTTTTTTTTTCCCCCACACCGTTCCTCTGCAAAGTCGGTAATAATGAGTATGCAAGGCCATGTTATCGTGGAGGACTCCAAGCAGCAGGTGAAGGAGGTACACCGGCAGAAGAATGACCCCGACAAGGTGCTGGGGCCACTGGACCGTATGTGTTTGTCTCTCGTGATGGGAGTGGAGAGATATCTGCGTGAATTCGACGCGGCCGCCGCTATTCCAATGTTGGTGCGAATGAGTGAAAAGGAGGCATTTGCATTTCGCGGGGATGCGTTAACAATGCTTTTTCGAGCTATTTCTCTCATTATGGAACATGTGCCTACTTCCTATGAGAGTATGGGACCCTATCAGAAACAACTTATGAAATCGGTTTGTCAGACACTTTCCCGAACACTGGCGGGGAGGATGAAGTATAATAATACAGATAATGTGATGTTGATGGAAGAATGTCTTCGATTGATTCGATTTATTAGTAGGGATGAAAGTAATATATCCGCACTTCGATTTGGTATGACAGACATTATTCAAATCGCTGCCTCTGAAAATTCTCTGTTAGCACGACAGGCATTTGATGTGCTTCTTATTTTATGCTCTAAAGTGATATTACCATCAGAGGCGGAAAAACCACACATGCTTGGTCTTCCAATTTCCTTTATGGGATGGAAAAAGAAAAAGAAACAAAAAACAAAGGATGATAGTCCTCCATTTAGTCAAGATCCGGTAGTTGTAGCCGTAGAACAAATTATTGCTCCTTTTCTTCATACATCCATTCAACAATATGCAGCAACACTTGAAAGTTTTCCAGAAGCATGGACATTTCTAGAAATGGCATTACAATGTCTTGGTATGCTTATGCAGCGAGCTTTACTCTGTCATCGTCCTTCTACAGCACAAAAAATGGTAACGGAAGATCTTTGTAAAATTCTCTTTCATTTGATTTTATTTAATGATAATAATGTGGCATTAGAACAAGGAGTTCGCTCTGAACGACTTTTATTATGTGAAACAATGTTGGATGCCGCTATTAGTGCAAGTTGGAGAGTTGCCAGTGAATCTCTCTTAACAGAGGAAGCTCAATCATTTTATAAACTTATGTTTGAAGAGTCGGATTCAGAAGTAACAACATTATTAGATGATCCTTTCCCAGTAGCAGGATCATCTTTACGTGGAGCTCAACGACGAGATAAGAATCATATTGCTTCTATTGCAGCTGTTAGACTTTTTATTCTTGCTTGTCCACGTCTTCCTAGTGAGGCATTCGGACCAAAACCGAAAGTTCTTCTTCCTGTTCATGAGTGGAAGTGGGAAGATGAGATGCGACATAAGAACCTTATTGATGAAGAAAGATGTATTGCTCTTGAGACAAGTTTTGTTAGGTTGTCTAAAGAGTCTGTTATTAAAATACAAACAAAATCAATGGTTGTGGATTTACATACAATGAAAATGTGTGGAGGATTTGGAGGTATAGATCGCAATATTTATAGAAAATTTGTCCCTTTTGTATTTCATGTTGTAGATGAAGAAAATCTTCGTCTTGTAAAATCGGCAAAAGAGGTTATGGTATCTAGTAATTTGTTTGTGCAAAGTAAACATGAAACTAAAACCGCAATGACCGTAACAACAGCTAATATGCCTCCACATTTAAAAAATCTAATGCGATTTTATGTGATCAATAAAGATGCACCCGTATTATTAGGAAATGTAAAGATGGCAGAACTTTATCTTGAACGTCTTTGTAATTTCGTTGTTTGGGTACCTGGTCAAATGACCATGCAACTTGGAACCTGTGCTTGTGCTTCCTTACTACATTCAGTAATTCGATCTGGAGAAGATAAACGATTTGTTTCTCTTATTCGTAGTGTGTTACGTCCATTATGTGAAATGTTAAGAGTGGCTCTTGCCTCTTCCGATAAGGCGACGAAATCCATTTGTCTGACAATGATGGTTTGGTTATTGTGTCATCCACGAGCCGCGGAGTGGCAGTTTTGCGGAATAGCCCAACGGTGTGGAATTCTCAGAGAATTAGAGGAGTTATCACGCGGTGGAAGTAAAGGAAATGGGAATAGTGGTGGTAGTATTAGTAGTGGAAATCATACAAATACCGCCAAATCCACACACGCAGCCTCAGAAGAGCGACAAACACGAACAAAGTATTTGGCCACAACCGCCTCCGCTATTCATGCCGCTATCACAGAAGAGATGAAAAGATTACAAGCACCAGGAAATCCAGCAGGTCTTTCTACAGTAGATGTCACTGTGGTGCGGCAGGCTGTTCAGGATTTAAAAACATCTGCCAAATTGCCTGGTGTACACCGTAAAGTAGTGGAACATGTCTTATATGTAATGGAAATGTCATTAAGAACTATTACCGCATTTGAAATATCTATGCTTGGAATTGCGGATGCTGTGTTAACTTATTTACTGGAAGATAATGAAAATAATGCCGATGCGACGAGTGTGAATGGTAGTACTACTACTAATACTAATACTACTAATACCGGAGAAGGGAAAACTTCAGCTCTTGGTAATTTTGTTTTTACCTCTTCTGTAGATTTAGCGCCTTTTGATGGAAGAAGTGTTGCCGATCGTCTTTTTCAACGTTGTCGACGAGAACGTCTGGAGTGTTTTCTGATGTGTGCGGCGGAGAAACCACGTGGAGTGGAGGCATTAATTGAAAATTTAGTATCGGCTCTCCCTATGCACTCAACCTTCCCTCTTGTTGAGACAGTTTTATCCGCAAAAAGTGTATCTTGCCGAACACCGTTAAAAGCAGCTATGATATGTTCACATATTTCACCATGTGTTACTCTCTGTTCTAAAGCCAATGGAAATAGTAAACGTAATAATAATAATAATAATAATAATAATAATAATAATAATAATAATAATAATAATAATAACAGTAATAATAAACCCCCAGCTGTTTTAAGTGTGCATTCTAGTAAAGATACAAACAGTCGAGGAGTCTCTGGAGGAGGAGGAGGAGGAGAAGAAGAAGAAACACCTAGTCAATTACGTGGCTTCATTGAAAGAGAAGTAGTGGTACCAAACCCACGTGATTTCTGTCCACAGGGTCATCGATTACAAATTATTGTTACTCCACGAGATATCATATCTCCATGTGATTTATGTGAAGAGGAAGTACGCTCTGGATTTCGATGTGCGCAGTGTAGATTTCATGTTTGTATGGAATGCTATGCGAATCCGGATGTTCACTATGAAGGTGGTAGTCCTCTCTTGAGTTCAAGATCAAACCCTGAAGATGATAATGTGAGTAATTCTGTAGAAAGGACTCCAGTAAACCGAATAAAGAAAGTGAATGTGCGAGCGCATTTATTCGCTTCTGTAGGTGATATTGAACGTCATTTTCGTACGGGATCTTCTGCTATTAAGAATACAGATGTTGCCCCAGCACCTGTATCAGCATTACAAAATATTGATAATTTTATAGGTCACGTCCAATCTGTGTTGATTCGAAGAAAAAAACAATTGGCCCCTGGATCACTTCGAAAATCTATTCAAGAAGCACTAAAAACTTTTATCTCACCTGGTTCTATTCCAGATAACACAACCACCACCAATAAAAGTTCAGAGGATCAATCTATTCAAAATCAAGAAACTCAAGAAATGATGCAGTTAATACGAGATGCTATGGAAGAACGGTATGTACTTTACACTTCCCCAGGTGGAAGATGTACATATCAAGAAACCTTTATAGGAAATTTACTTCAACGTGCACTTCTTGAAGGGTCAGTAAGTCTTGTAGAACAAATAGAAAACTGTTTACTTAGTATGGAAGGAGTGGCTGAGAATGCTAGTCCTTCAGATTATCTTCAAACAGGGGAGGTAAATTTTGAGAAACATGCCGATTCTGCATTACAGTCATCAAGAGAACTTCCAGATAGGGTAGATAGTACACAAACTTTTGTCTTTCATCACTTTGAAAATGATGAGGAAACACATTGTTGTTGTGGAGAAAAATCAAGACAAGAACTTAATACTATGCATTCATCAAATATTGTTCGAAACCCTACTCGACTTTCTCAAAATCAAGATACTATATTACTTATTCTCTTACATAAAATTCTCAATCCACTTATAAAACAACATGTTGTGGATATTAATCCCGCAGCTTTTGTAAGTGCTCCTTTTACAACACTTATTGTAAAATCATTAGCAGCTTCTGCATTACGTGTAGCCATCCTTCCACCGAAAATTGCTGTTCCTCGTTGGGTAGACTTTATCCTTACACAGGCTAAATTTCTTTTACCTCTTAATGTACGAGAACGTATTGCCCGATTTTTCGCCTACGGTGCTCGTCGAGCATTGCATGCTCACATGAAAGGTTCATGTGTTTCTAGGTCTTATCGTTCTATTAGAATATACCCGGCTGAATGGGCAAGGGTATCAAATCATAAGTATCGGGTAAGACGAATGGAATTACTACATGATGCTTATATAGTTCTTCGAAAGAGTGCCGATTCTAGATCTCCTATATCTATTGAATTTGAGGGAGATGTTGGAGTTGGACAAGGTCCTACAGCACATTTTTATACATTGATTGCAGATAAAATGAAAAAGGAGCAAGTACACCTTTGGCGTGGAGTTAGAACGATTAGAAAAGAGAATGATCTTGGTAAAAGTGGAAATTCAAAGGATAAGAGTAATAGTAGTAGTAATACAAACATTAACATGAACAGCAAAAGTGATTGTGATGAAGTAGAAGTGATTCTTCCATTAGAGGGTATTTACCCTTGTAAAGATGTCTTGGTACGTACTTCATGGAAGGGATCTGCAGTTTCTCCACAAACACTTCCAGATGGTGGGAGAATCCTCACAGACTACCGTATTTGTATGGATGATTTTGCAGAGTTTGATTGTGAACGTGCGCAGTGTTATTATCTTGTTGGAGCCGCACTTGCTCGTGCCTTTACAGATGAGGTGGTGTTCCCACTTGATATTTCTCCCGCACTTGCTATTTTTCTCAGTCACGGTGCTCCCCCATCTCGAGTAATACTTCATAATGTCCCTTGTGCTGACAAAAATATTGAAAGACCAGTAGATTTCATGGGATTATCTCTAAATGATGTGGAATTAATGGATAAATCACTTGCATCTAGTTTACACTCACTACTCTCACTAGATACTGCCACTCTGGAAGCGATGGATTTACCCTTTACATTGCCTGGTGATGATAATTTTGAAATGACAAGTGGTGGGACAAAGTTGCGTGTTACGACGAAGAATCTCTCTCGTTATTTTCATCGTGCTGCTGCTGGACTTTTATATGAATCAGCTGTGTTTCCCATTCGTTTTCTTGTTTACGGTTTTCATGATGTTGTCCCTTGTGGGGCTCTCACTGCCCTAGACCCGGAGGATATGATGGAATTACTCTGTGGGAGTAAACAGTGTGATTCCCAACCACTGTGGACACTGTCGGAGATTAAATCAATTCTCGTGCCTGATCACGGTTACCAGAATGACTCTCCACAGATAACCATGCTGCAGAATGTGTTGGCCAAGCGACTCACACCGCGTGAGCAGCGTTTGTTTTTACTGTTTTGTACGGGTTGTCCACGTTTACCGGCTGGTGGAATTGGTTCACTTGGCGCCATTACAGTCGTGCGGCGATCGGATGTGGCTTTTTTTACTCAGTTCTTTAACAGCGGGTATGGATCGGCAGACCGGGGATCCCATTCGGCATCGACATCTAGAGATAATGAGTTAACGGGATCCTTAACAGAGAAAGATTGGCCCCTGCCATCGGTGAATACGTGTTTTCGTTATCTCAAGTTGCCTCCATACCCCACAGAAGAAATTATGTACAGGAAACTGCAGCTCAGTATTACGCAAGGTGGGGAAACGTTTCAGTTGTCTTGAAGAAACTACATTTTGTTTTCCAGATTTATTTCTGGAAATAAATTTTGATTTTTTATGCATTGCCTCAGGCATTCAGCAATGGGAGGTGGTATTAGTAGCAATAGTAGTAGTATTGGTAATATTGGTATTATTGTTGGTGATGATGGTTTTTTGGCAAAAGTATAATATACGGAAATAGGTTGAGAGGAACTTGGTGAAGCTTGCAGGTGTAGGTAGAAGAAAAGAAGAAAAAAAAAAAAAAAACGAAAGAAAAAGGAAAAAAAAAAAATGATGTAATACATTTAGTTCTGAGAAGAATAAAATAAATTTTTTTTTTAAAAAAAAGGAGACTCCACGCGTGTCTGTTCTCTCGCACCATAGTAGTACTCTTCCTTTCTTTTGTTTTTTTGTTTTTTTCTTTTTCCTTATTCTTTCACTCTCTCTTGTATATGAATTCAGTGGTTGTATTTACCCCGTTGCTCCCACACGAAGGTAAGAGAGGACCCCAGTATCAATACAAAGAAGTGGACAAAATGAGTGGAAGATGATTTTTTTTTTTTCTTTGTGTTTGTCTGTCTGTAGATCAGGCAAAGAAAAAAAAAAAAAAGAAAAACGAAAAGTGGGAAATGTATTATATGAGAAAGTAAGAGTGAGTGATATCTGCTGTTTGCTCTTGATTTTTCTTTTTTTGTTGTTGTTTATTTAATTATTCTTTTTTTTTGAGTTTGTTATTTTGTTTTTATCCGGAAGGAGGAGGTGGGAGACCCGTGGATGTCTGCGTTAGACTCTTGTTTTCTCCCCTGTGAAATCATTAGGTTGTTTGTTTGTTTGTTTATGCTAGCGAGATAAAAAGTAGAAGGTTTACACAGAAGGAAAAAAAAAAAAAGAAAAGATAATGTGAGAAGTATAAGAAAAAAAAGGTGTTGTTGGAGTGGGGGGTATATATTATTGTTAGTGTAAAGTAGGAAAAAGTGTAGAGTTGTTTTTTTTTTTACTTGTTTGTTTGTTTGTTTTCTCTGGAGAGTCATTATTTTTCTATTTTCGTTTACCCAATATAAGTTATATATCTATATATATATATGTTTTCGATATTTAACCATGATGTGTGCAAATAATCAGTAAGGCAAATAAAGAAGTAGGTTCAATTTAGTGATGGATAGAATGAATGAAATGGAAGGGGCAACCAAAAAAAAAATAAATAAATAAGAAAATAGTATGAAAAATATAATAAGTATGTGAGTATATGTGTACTGTTCTTTTTCCTTTTTTTTTTCTCTCTGAGTTCTTTTTACATCTTGGTAACATGTGTCTGCATCCGCTAATATTTTCCCAATCCTTCTCTTTTCACTATTCACACAATCACACATGCACACTATACCTATTATCTTTTTTTCTCATCTATATAAATTAATCATTCAAGGCGCATTTTTTTTTTTTTTTCTATTCAGCTTTATTTTATTGCAAGCGATATGAGGCAAAAAAAAAAAAAAAAAAACAGACTCTGAGAAGTGGTTTTTATGAAATGACAACAAAGATGTTTCTTTTAAACTGTGTTTGAAATGTTGCCGCATTTGTCTTTGTGTGTGTGTTTTTTTTCATGGTTTCTTCTACTTTCCTGGAAAACCCCTTCTTTTTTCTTTTTCTTTTCTCTCCTGCCTTTGTATTACATGGTCTCAACTTCATTATTATGCTGCTTTCTCTTTTTATTTATTTATTTATCTGTTACCCTTTTCTTTCTTTTTTTTTTTCTGGGTTTTATTGATTGTAGGGCGGAATGACGGTGAAAAAGTTGCGCCCCTCCGCGCTGCTACCAAAGCTTACAGTGAACAAGAAGTATATTAAGAAGGTAAAATTCATTGCCAAGAAGAAGGAGGCGGCAGCAGCAGCAGAAAGGGGACTTAGTAGTCTGAGTAGGAAGCAGGGAAAGAAGAAGAAGAAGGTAAAGCGGGCTGGCAAAGGAACAAAGAAGAAGGATGTCAAGTCCAGTGCGAAGAAATCATCTCTGACGACGGTGAAGGAGAAAAAGAAAAAGGGTCTTGTCACCAGTGCGGCAAAGAAAGTAACAAAGAAGAAAAAGAGAGTAATCAGCGAAAAGGAGGCCCCATCTGGTGATGAACCACAACAACAACAATTACAAGAAGAGAAAAAGAAAAATATTTCACAGGAGGAAATAGACAAGACATTAATTCAGCGGGCCATTCGCGGTGAAGAGGAACACTTTAATGGCTCCACCTCCTCCTCTGCTGCTGCTGCTGCTGCTGGATTGGAGTTTGGTGAGTTGCTCCAACACCCATACCTCCCATTCCTTGAGGACTACGCCGAGCAGAAACGCAGTGAATTGGTCTCCGCAGACACTCTTCTACAGGGGGCTCATGAGTACTTCAAAGATCTCGGGAAAAAGGAATCCGCCATGCGTCGAGCAGCGGCAAAGCGTTTGCGTGAGTTAAAAGAAATTAACCGTCGAGGTGGTGATAAGGATGGTTTCCGCTACGTTGTGCCACGAAATGTGAAGGAGGTGGTGCGGCAAATGTCGCAACAGCAGGCGGTGGATGTGGATACGTCCAACTTGACCTCAACATTCCGCGAAGAGCAGACAAATGAGGCGGATGAACGGCCAATGCACCGCCGTAGACGTAAGAATAGTTGTTACTCTGATTTTTATCAGTTTCAGGTAAGTAAGCGCTGGACACGCAATGCAGAGAACTTCCTAAATAAAGGACGTGCCCATAAGTCGATGTTTGGGGCAGCACGACAGCAGCGCTCGCTCAAAAAGTTCTAAAAGGACTTGGAGGATTGCAAGGTGGAAGGGGGGAAACAAAGAGAAAAAGGTAAGAAATAAAAAAAGGAAAAAAAAAGAAAAGAAAAAGATAGAGGATTGGAAAGCAAACAATAATAACAACAAAAAAAAAAGAAACAGGACGCTGATAGTGGTGACGGGGGTGGTGCTGACGATTATAGTGATGAACGCACTAACTTAATCCTAATGATCCACGTGCCCTCAGTATACTGCTTTCTATCTTCTCTCTGTGTGTGAATGCGATCTTGTCCTTGTGATGCCTAGTAAAGATAAAGGAAAAAAGGAAAAGAATGAGGTGGTATGTGGTTGAGTGTCGTTTAATAGAATAATACTTTTTGTTTAATTTCAGTGAAAGAAAGCTGTTATTGTCGAGGCATCCTTGATAAATGCCCACACAAACTCACAAAGTTGGTGAAACCCATATATTACATATGTGTGTATCTCTATCATGAGCATTAGCTTATTTTTGGTTTTGCGCATTTATTATTTTTTTTCTTTTTTTCTTTTCTTATAATCCCATGTCTGTATTTTATCTGTTGTCATATTTTCTTTTTCTCTCCCTTTTCTCTTTTTTCTTTTTATTATTTTCTTACCCTTGTGCCCTTTCCCTACATTACTGCTGTTACTCGCCTTAACCCCAGTTTGTAGAGGTTGCTTTCGTCGCCGCCTCTTTTTCTCTCACACACACACTCTCTCTCGCTCTGTGAGTGTGTCTCTACTGTGCTTTCTCACTATCTCTGCGCTTAGCTGTATTCCCACTACCGCAGACAACCAAAAGAAAAAAAAAAAAGCACATCTATCTCTCAGATCCATCTATATATATAAATAAGAAAAAGAATATATATATATATATATATATTATATACGGAGAGTCTGAAAAATGGGAGGACGTCTGCGAAACTTGTGGTCCGGCGAGGAGGAGCGGGCGGTGGGGAGGCCGCGGGCGGTGCCGGTCGCTGCCGGCTGGACAGTCCGCCCGGAGGTCCTCCCGCAGCGGAGGGCGGGTGTCCGCCGGCGGAAGTACGCCCCCGTGAGGCCCAACGAACGCGAGGCCGTCGCCCTCCCCCACCCGGGGCAGAGTTACAACCCCTGCGATGACGACCACCAGCAGGCACTACGTACAGCCGTCAAGCAGCTCGAACGGAAGAAGAAGGCGGATGAGAAGTTTGTTGCCATGATCACACACGGACGCGATATGGAAATCACTGGAAACTTCTCAGCCGATAAGACATGGGAAGAAGAGGTGCAGGATCAGCCTACCCAAGAGAAGCAGAAACGAGATGGAGAGAAAAAGAAGAAGGTGTCGTCGCCTAATAATACCGTCATTACTACTGCTAATGGTAGTAGTCGTAGCAGTAATAAGACGATGACTGCCGCCTCTGAAGATACAACGGTGGTGGTAGATGAAAACAATAAAGCTCTTGATGTCTCGAGCAAAGATAAGAAAAAAGATAAGAAAAAGGATAAAAAAAAGAAAAAGAAGAAAACTGCTACGAAAGCATCCCTCCAAGCAGCTAAGCATGCGTTGCCACATCGTCGTCACCCAAAACGAGAGGTCGCTATTGCTGAAGTGGATGACCTTGATGATATCTTAGCCACACATGAGAAACGCCAGGCACGTCGCGATGCCGCAAGGGAGCGACGCCGTGAAGCAAAACGTGCAAATCTACAAGTAAAGACTTTTGGACGTTACCATCATACACCGTTAGCCCTGGATGTTGCCCCAAGCGATAAACTTGTCGAATCCCTCCGACATCTGAATGGCAGCTTTGTACATCCTGTTATGGAACGCATGAAGTCACTGGAGGAACGTAATCTTATACCTGCCCGTATGCGACACAAGTATAATAAGCGAAAGATATTGAAACCTAAGGGAGAGGTACGTGTGAAGCGTGAAACCTTTGGCGTACTTCCCGAGACGAGTTTCTAAAATGAGAGAAAAAAAAGGGGGAGTGACAGAGAGTGAGAAGAAGAGGAGGAAGATGTGTTGATGATGATGAAAATGAAATGAAAAGTGTAACAAACAAAAAAAAAAAGAAGTTTCTGCTGCAGGTTAGCTAAAAAAACGATTAACGTACTTGACCCGCTATATAATGACCAGAAGTATATCCTCCTACTCCCTCCCTTCCTTCCTTTGGGTCAGACTATTATTCTATTTTATTTAATGAAATACAATATTTCTTTTTTTTTTTTTTGTCTGCATTTATTCTTCTTTTGATATCCTTTTCTCTTGGGTCTGTGTGGGAGAATATTTGTATCTGTAGAAAGGGAGAATTAAAAAAAAAAAAAGAACGAAGAAAAAGGGAAAACGGTAAACAAATAATAAAAAAAAAACAAAAAGGAGGGAAAGCAAAAGAACAAAGAAAAAGGAGAGGTGTAGGTCTTCAAAAGAAACTCCACATTATTACCAATGAGTTTCTTGATAAAAACATTGCTTGGAGACGGTGTAGTACATCCACCAGAGGATGGAGTGGATAAAGATAAACCCTCTACACAAGAGGAGCAAGGGAAACAGCGAGTTCCCACACGGACACTTATTCTCCGAATTCAATCTTGTACAGTAGCTCAAGATAGACGTGATGCATTGAAAGAATTACTATCTTGTACAGATCTCCCTTATGTTATGGCAGCAAAAGAAGTTTCTTATCTTTGTAACGTGCTTCGAAATTTTCCTGATGATGAAGAAATTGTGGAATCATCACTTGCTGTTTTATCTAGTATTACCGATTTAGCTGGATATCCATCAGCTCCTTCTACCTACAGTGTATCTGAAAAAGAGAAGAGACGCATTCGTGATTCTTTTTTACATGAATTAATTTCAGAAGTTCCTCTGTTTTTAAATCATGTAAATAAAGGTTCTTTTTGGTCCCGTTTTCATTCTGTTCAAATGTTGCAACGATTAGAAGAATATGATTCTTCTGCAGTACATAAACTTCTGCTATCTTCTCATGGTATAGGTGTATTGGTTGATATACTAAATGATAATAGTCACGGTGGAGCTCTTAGAAATGAAGGGTTAGTCTTATTTACAGCCATTACCGCTACTGATACTGAATTACAAACACTTTTAGCATTTGATAACGCCTTTGAGACTCTTTTTTCTGTAGTTAAAGAAGAAGGAGGACTTGATGGTGGTGTTATTGTATCAGATTGTTTAACCATTGTTCATAATATGTTACGAAATAATAAAGCTACACAAAAACTCTTTCGTGAAATGGGTTGTGCTCGTCTTTTATGTTCATTAATAGAGGCTGTACCGGAACATGTTAAAAGTTCTATGAAAAACATTGTATCCCAAAAAAAACAAGGTGGTACTAATGATGGAGATGATGCAGAAACAGGTTTTACACCTCTAAGTAATGTACAGAGTGTTGTGGTACTTATGGCAGTATCTATTTTGAGTTGTATTTTACGTGAAGCAGAAGCTCATCAAGAAGGTCCTACAGCTCAAGATGCACTTTTACAAAGTGGTGTTTTAGACCCATTGGCTTCTTTAGCCCTTGTTGGTGCAGCTGTTGATGACGCTGCTCGTGTAGAAGCAATGCGGACATTAGCGGTTCTTCTTAATGGTAGAAGAGTAGGAATTGAGAAATTTTTACAACTTCAGGTTGTGACGTTACTTCGTGGTGAGGCTCCTATGCAAGTGGAAGAGTGGACTGCCTTACGTGCCCTTCTTCATGTTTTGTTAAGAGTGGAAGATAGGGTTATGCAAACTGCTGCTGCACAAACAATTTTTGCTTTACTTTCAGTTCCAGCCTGTGAAGGCCGGGTGGGAAGTATACTTTTAAAAGGATTTGCTTCACCTTCGTCCTCACCATCATCATCAACAACAAAAGCATCTGTGACGATGGTAGCATCTAAAAATATACTAACTCCAGATTGTGGTTCAGCAATATCTAGTGCTATTTTTGGATCCTCAGGATCTACTGAATGCAGTGGTAAATACTACGCTGCACTTTTATTGGAACGTTTATTGTGTATACCTTCTGCTGTCGAAGAAATAGATCTTTCAGAACAACGAGAGTCAACAACATTACCTATCCCGAAACAATCTACATCTCCTGTAACAAATAACGTTTTTATTGCTTACGTACAATATGTGACAAAATGTTTCCGTGGTCAAGGTGAAATGGATCTCAATACCCTCAGTGCTTGTTTTAGAGCACTTTTAAGGTGGATAATGAGCAGCAGGAAGGCTGCCTTGTTATTTTTGAGTAATATAGGGTGCTATAAAACCCTTTTACAGCGATCAGGACAAGATAATGGACCAGTACATGTTCGGTTTTGGGCAGCTGTTCTTTGTGCCGCATTATGTGTTACTGTTACGAAGGAAAAACTTAGTGTAACTAGTGATGTTGCGGTACCAGAAGAACAAATGAAAACTGAAAAAAGAAGTAAAAGTGAAATGGATGATGGGACATCATCAGTATCATCATCATCATCATCTGCTCTTGGTAGGCGGCAATTGTTGGAATTATTTTTAAATTATTTGGGTGGTCCTGCAATCTTTGATAGTCTCCTTTTTGATGTAAAGGCTTCTAGTCCAGTTTGGTCAGATCCACCAAAGAACGCATTTCTTAAACCAACTCCTGTCCTTTATGATGAAAATATTAAGACTATGATATTAGGTATTATTAAGGATTTTAACGGTATTTGTCCATCTCGTGGACGAATTCACGAATTACAGGTATCAGCATCTTTAGATGAAGGTGCTATACCTTCAGCTCATGCTAGTACCTCTGATGAAGTGTTGTACTCTAATAAACCTCTTGATATATCTAGTAATTCTGCTGCTGTGAATACTTTCTTAGCGGGTCAAACACTCCCAGGAGTAGCATTGAATCCCCCAGAGTCTCATGATGGAGGTGATACCCTCTCGCAATCAAATTTAAAATCACTGAGAGAATCAACTCCAGAAAAGGGTGAAGGTGGTGAAGCTGTTGCTACTGCTGCTCTTCGTGAAATGTATGAAACCCAAATTGCGACACTTACCCAACGAAACACTGAACTGGAACGTGAGTTGCATCTATTACAAGATCAGGTTAAATTTGATGCTGAGCAGCGTGAGGCGGCCGCTGATCGGGAGACGAGGCAGTTGGAGGAGATGGAGAGTCTGCGTGAGCATATCCGTGTGCTGGAGGAGGCTCTGGGGGCGGAGGAGGAGCAGCGTCGGGTGCTGGCCCAGTCGCTGAATATGTTGGAGGCGCAGTTGCAGGGGGCCCGTGGAGCCCCCGGGGGCGGGAACGGCAATGGGGAGGCGCTGGCGCTTCTCGAGGAGGTCCGGCGGGTGACGGATGAGCGGGATGAGTTGCTCGTGCTGGCGGGTGAACTCGCGGAGTCGCCGGCTTTGCGCCCTTCTGACCTCCCGTCTCCCTCCCCGCCGCTCCCCCCGCCCTCCGCCGCCCCATCGGTCGCCCCAGAGGCGATGAAGGAGGAGAGAGGGGGATACTTTCACCACCAACTCCCCATCGGAGGGAGCGAGTCTACACCATCACGGGCACAGATATTTGACTCCCCAGAGCCAAACAATCCCACTGGGAGGTTTTCAACGTCATCGGCGCAGCAGGGGTTGCAGTATCAATATCAACATCATCACCGTCTTCAGATTCCAGGTGGGGCACCATTTGAACGTGTTGAAACAAATGGACATGATAGGGGTGGGATTATGTCAAATATTCCAGTCGATGGAGGCAGAAATCCGTTTGCTAATATATCTTCAGATGATTTCATGAATAATGGAGATGGTGAAGTTCCTACAGAGGAGGTGGAAAAACAACCTGTGTTCTCTACACCGAATCAAAGACGTTCTGTACCTTTGCATTACAATCCCTTTGCAAATATGTCAGACCCAGGTCCTGATGATGACCCTGGAGATCTGCGGTAAATAGAGATTGAAAATGTTGTGATGTGTCTATGGAGGGGACCTAGTGAGAGAAGGATGATTCTGATTTGAATCTATAGATCGTGAAGAAAAAGATCTCCTTTCAGGGATTCACAAAATATAAAGAAATCGTATTATTTTGCTGTATATATATTGCAGCTCCTTGTGCTACTTCATTAACCGTGCGTTTCTTCTTTTTTTGGGAGGACTTCTTTCTTTTTTTTTTTATGGTGTCATCCGCTTTCCTTTTATCTGATGGCTTACTTTACTTTCTTTCTTATTCACTGAAGCATTAACTATTGGTGATATCATTACTATTTTTTGGTTTTTTATTTTATTTTATTTTGTTTCTGAAGAGAGTTCGAAAGAGGGGTGGAAAATGAATCCACCCAAGCGATCTGCAGAGTTAATGACGTCTTTTCTGGGAGACTGCGAATTAACACTGCGGCGACCCATTAACTATGAGCCACCTATGTATCTTTTTCCAGAGTTGCTTCCCAGGGTTCCGGAAGGCACCCCTCCCCTCTCTGTAAGTGATGCTATCGCTGATGCCATTGATGTGGAAGCCTCTTCGCTGGATATCGCTGCGTTGTGTAATATTCCTCAAATAGAATTGCGAGAAGGTACAGGAGATTTACAACGAGGAGACGCGAATGAGGCATCATCTGCTAGTAATTCTGTTGAATTGTCAGATATGCATATTATAGCGTCCCTCTTGGCATCAAACCGCTTACAGATAGCTGGACTCACGGCAGATATGCTGAAATCTGGGGGTTTTTCTTCACGATCTATTGTGGAAAAATTAAGGACGCTGATAGAGCGCGCCAGACTGAGTAGTATCGAAGCAAAAGCGATCATGTCCCCCACATTTCTTAACCTCCTTAACTGGCGTTCCCTTACAGAAAATGAAAGCCGGTATCTGTCGAATAGAAGAAAAAGAGAACCAGAATCTGAGCTACCTGATAGGAGGGTTCGACCACGTCAGGAATTGGTAGAGGAAACAGAAATCGCTTTACTACAGCCATCTAATGACCCTTGGAGTAGTGATGTAGATCTTACCCCGGGTGTATTTGTTGCAGCTGGGGAGCGAGATGTGGAGAGGAGAAATGAAGCTCTAGTTGCTCTCAGTAACGTTTTATCTTCTTCTTGGCGATCACTACGTTCAATTGGAATACAAACAGATCGATTTGTTCCTGGATCAATAAATGAAACATCTCCTTATGCGGATCCCTTAAAAATTCCAGGTGGTACTATGGATGTAGAACAAGATCTTGGTTGGAAACCTCAGGAAGGAGAGGAGGATTCAAAGAGTAATTGGCTACTGCGCGTGACATCATCCATTACTTCAAGTACCAAAGTATTTCCTATGAAAAATGGGATTATGAACTTTGGTAGGAATGCTGGAGTGACAAGTGCTGTATATGGTAGCGTGACAAACGTTCATGTAGGATTATCCTCCTTTACTGCTCACCCTGAGTTCATCTCTCCCCATCACTTTTCTCTGATGCTACTTCCAGCTCAGTCCACATGCCCCGATGACAATCTAGGGACTGCGACTCAGCAAAGAGAAGGTAGTATTGAAGAGAGTGGGGATGGAGGGACTCGTTGTTTGTGGCTTATGAACTACGGACGCAACGGTACTCGTGTTATAGGAAAACAATGGACACTTGGTGATATGGTGAGGTTGGATATTGGGGATGTTCTTCAACCCACCGATGATATTCGCATCACCATCACTGCTTCTTCACAGAATGGTGAGGAAGAAAGTGTGGAAGTGGGGAATGTTGCGGAGGTGGTTGTAAAGAAGGAACCCAATAGAACGTTGGAAGAATAAACTGAAGGAAAGAGAAGAAAAAGTGAAGAAAAACCAGAGTCCCCTTCACACTTGTATTCTTTTTTCGGACGGTATGTTTTTATTTATTTTGAGAATTGTAATGAGAACTCTGCTCTTGTGCATCATTTTTTTTTTCTCATTGTTTTTTTTTTTTTCCGTGCATTGTATGGGTAAAAAAAAAGTCATAAAATTGTAATTTTATCTTGTTTGTTTTCTTTTTTTTTTATGTTTTTTTTTTTTTTCTTTTTTCCATTCCCTGCTTCTCTAAATGTTTCTAGGAGAAAGAAAGGTAGTACTGGTGGTAGTGGTAATATTTTTTTAAAATTTCTCTATGGGGTTCTCTGTTGGTAGTATTGCCCAGGCCTTGTTGTTGTGCCTTAATGCCATGGCCATTCTCTCTGAGCGGCGGTTCCTCTCGAAGTATGGACTCGCAACAGACATGATTGATCAGGGCAACGGCGGTGATGGGGGTTTTACTCCCACGGCTTTTGGTACTGGTGATGAATTTGGGCGTGTTCGACAATCATCCGGATTTAAGGCTCAACTCGCGAAAGTCCTTAGTAGTGTTAGAACATTGTTACGGTGGCCACTGATACTTATAAACATAACTGTTATTATATTTACACTTGTGTTTGGGTGAGGTGTCTTTATTTGTTATTTATTTATCTTTCTTTGCTGTTATAGAGCATTCATTATTAACTTTTTATAGGATTCGTGTAAGATTCTTATTACTTGAATTCCCTTTCTCAGTTTTGTGAGTTCGCTATGAGGCATGTTCTTCTACGAATGAGCTACCCAAAAAAAGAAAAAGAAAGAAAGGGGGTGGGGAAAGTGAGTTGATGATGATGATGATGATATTGTGACATGTATATTTTCCTATTCTGTTTTTTTTTTCTTTTTTTTTTTTTGGTACTTCTTTGTGTCTACGTAACACCACTAATGTGCCATATATATACAGACATGTAAATATATATATATATATATATATATATTTGATTTAATGGCTTTTTTTTTCTCTCTCTCTCTCTCTCTCTTTGTGTTTTTATTTTATTATTGGATCATAATGATAGATAGTCGCGACCATGTCGGCTGATCACAGCAGCCTTCCCTCCATTGGCCGCAAAGTAAACGCGGGGTGGGGTACACACACCACACGGCGAAAGGACCAAATACAAATATGGAGCGCAGTGGCATTACAACAACACTTCGCGCGTGGGGCGTTGGTGAACTCCACACTGCCAACATTAGAAGAAGTACCCCCACCACTCCCTGGTGGTCGGTTAACACTTGCGCAGAAAATGGGTTTAGTCCCACTTCCACCACCAGAACCAACGGAAGAGGAATGGAAAAAGATTGAAAGTACCGCACTTCGTAGAAATGTTGTTATGCCTCTTGGATCTAATGCTTGTAGTATTTGTCAAGAACCATTTTATGCTACTATGGAACAGGGTCAACTTTTACTTAGTTGTTCTCATGTATTTCATGAGAATTGTTTTCGTCAGTTTGAAAAGTTTGCAAGGCGATCTCGTGGAAAACATGATGCAACCCCAATGTGTTGCCCAATATGCCGAAGAAGTAATTATCATAAACGTATATTTTATGCAGGTAAAGCAATGGAGCAACGTGCCGCTATTGTAAAGATTCAAGCATTTTTTCGTCGTGTTCTTGCAAGGAAAGCTTATGTGAAATTACGTTTAGAAAATGATAGTGATTTCTGTGGTGAGTACGCCCGTGAGCGACTCGCACGGTTGTCTGAAGCGTATACGGAGTATGCAATTCGGCGTGAAAAGGAAAGAGTTCAGATATTAGAAAACATTGATCTTTATATGCAGCGTGCTCAAGCAGCATGTATTACAAAGGCGGAGTGGAAAGCCCTTCGAAAGCGAGTAGAAGCAGAGACAGAAGGTGGTGTATTGGATTGCCCTATCTGTTTAACGGCTATTGATAAAAACCCAAATGCTGAAGAAGCTCCAAAACCAAAAACTGGAGAAGAAATAGTGGCAGTTTTTAGAAAAGAGTATGAGGCACGTATGGCCAGAAAAAATGCTAATGAAAACAAGAGGAAAAGTTGCTATCAAGGTTTAACAGAACGCAATAGTAGCGTAAAACCAGTAAAGATATCCATTTCAAATCCATTAGGTTCATCTTTATTGAGACAAGGTTCTTCTGCCAAAAAGTTAAGTATCTCAGGCAAGATAAATAGTAGTACTACCAGTAGTAATTCTTGTAGTAAACGTACTGTTTGTGGTGATCATACAGATGTTCCTCGCCATGGTACTTTGTTGAGTTGTGGTCATTGCTTTCATGATGCGTGCCTCTCTGTATTTGAGAAGTACACGGAGATGATGGCTGTTCAGCGAGAGGGAGATACAGTCATACCTCGTTGTCCGCTGTGCCGCTCAGCCTACGTTAAATGTGATTACTAGTCTTCTCTGATAATAATAATAATAATAATAATAATAAAGAGGGAGAGGGTGTTATCTCCATGGATTTGTGTGATTTGCATTATTATTATTATTATTATTATTATTATTATTATTATTATTATTATTATTATTATTATTATTATTATTATTATTATTATTATTATTATTATTATTATTATTATTATTATTATTATTATTGTGTTTTGGACAATGTATAGTATGGAGGTGGTATTCCACTCTGTTTTGTCTCTGTGAGTGTATATGTGTGTATGTTCATTCGTGCACAGTTTTACATTTTTCTTATGTTTTTTTTTTTTTTCTCGACGTTTCCGTCATTGCGTTTGTATCTATCTATTGGAAACCTGACGCTTTGACATCCAAGACGTTCTTGTAGACTACTGCTTCTTTTTTTTTAAAAAAAAAAAGGGGGTGCAATGATAACTCTTTTTTTTCTTCTTATTTGTTTCCTTTTCTTTTTCATATTCATCTCTAATTTCCTCTATATTGATTTCTCTTTGTACCATTTCCTTTTTTTCTTTTTTCTTTTGTTTCTTCTTTATCATCCACACCCATTTGGTGTGCTGTGTGCGTGCAAACACACACACAAAAAAAAAAAAAAACTATATGGATATGCAGAGTACACACGACTGAGGTCTGAAGGTTATCACTCATGTCGGGGATTGACTACTCAAAATGGGATAAACTCTCTGACAGCAGTGCGTCAGATAATGATGATAATGATAATAATTATGATAATAATGAAGGGAAAGTAACAGGAGACCCGAGAGTCACTCAGCTTCAATACCCATCACGTGTTACCATTGGACCAGATGGAATTCATATGGAGACAATGCCCCCAAAGGCAACAGTTTCCCCGTTTGGTAAAACAAATGCTACTACTACTACTACTGTGCCAGTGCAGTCATCTGCAATAAAGACTTCCCAAGATGTGTATAAGAATGAACAAGAGGAAGAAGATGAGATGATGTATTTTAATCTCACTCGAAACGGTGGGTGTGAAGGAGATTCACATCTTTGGTCACAAACACGAGATACAGCCACAGTGAGTTTTATTTTACCCACAATGGAGACAAAAGCAAAGGATATTTGTAATTTTCGCTTAATAGCTGAGGAACAACAGGACCGAACCTCTGTTTGTGTACTCAGTTTTAGTTTAAGAGGTATAGAAGGCGAACGACGATATGTTTTTCGATACCCAGTAAAAGTTGATGAGGATATTGTGGATGGATGTTGGCAGCTGCACTCACTTCCGACAAGGTCTCTGCGTCTTTTGATAGTACAATTGGTGAAGGAACCAGTGGCGATGGGAATGTCGCTTTGGTGGGATAAATGCTTCGTTACTGATCAGACAGTTATTGATACGAGAAAGATTGCGGATAGAAACAATGGGGCAGCTGCACGTGCAGAAGAATTTAAAAAGGTCTGGGATCAAGCTCATGAGGAATTCAAGAAACGGATAGATGAACGACAGCAGAAACCAATTATAATTGATAATGAGGAGGAAGAGGAGGGTGAAGGTGAGGAGGATGGCAAACGGTAAGAGGTTAAATTTGCTGCAGTTGTGTGTATATGTGTTTAATGGAGATCTTCTTATCCTATTCTTTTTTTTTTGTGTGTGTTAGTCGTGTTGTTGTTGTTGTTTGGGGGACTGTGAAGAGACGAAAGAAGTGATCTTTTTTCATATCTGTTATTGGCTCACAGTTCACCTTTCACATTAACTCAATCAAAAGAATCATCTGCTTTCTTTTTCTTGCTACTCAAAAAAAAAAAAAATAATAAATAAATAAACAGAAAGATTGGGTTCCTAGAAGCGAGATAAGCTCCCCCAAACGAAAAGGAAAGGACTACCAAAATAAATAAAAAATAAAAAAGGAAACACTGTATAATGAGTGCACCGAAGTTTATCTCACTTCGTGTCACCCGCGACCAGCACGGCAACGCAGTTTCCATTGAGAGAGATGATAGTATGATGGATGATCAGAAGTACAGCTATACACCATCAACGAAACTCTCTACTTCTCAGGCAATAACAGATAATAAACAAAGACGAAAGAATACACAACGACCACCTTGGGTGCATCCCATTATCTCTCGTGGTACACAGACAAATACATCTGATCTCATCCTTGATGATGATGAGCAGCCGCCTACCATTATTGAGATGATTCAGCCCCAATGGGGAAGTACCACCATTCCTGTTTCTTCTCCTCTTTCTTCTCCTCCTGTTCTTTTTCCATCGGCAACACAAGAGGAGGAGAGTCTTTTCACAGAGAATGGAAAGGGAACATGTGGAGAGGAGTTTATCCTTTCCCTTTTTCCATCACCGATCAATCCACACACTTCACATGTCTCCCCTACACTAGACAGGAGTGGTAAACGGACGAGTGGTCCACATCTAGCACACAATAATAATAATAATAATAATAATAATAATAATAATAATAATAATAATAATAATAATAATAACTCACAAGAGAGTAAAAGCGTGCAAAAGACGTTTGTGTCTAAATCATCCTTCATAAATGAGCCGCGGAGGTCTGTCAGAAGAAGCGTGCCTATTGAGCGATCAAATGTCTCTGCAGTGCGGTGGTCAAAGTCACTTTTGCAATCTGGCTCTGTTCAGTCCTCAGTCTCTCCGTTAAGGGATTCGATTGAGATAATGAAAGGAGAGCAACAGCAGCAACAACAACAACGATATGAAGAAAAGGAAGAAAAAGAAATACGACAAGATCAATATCAAGAACAAACCTCTTTGCTGCATAATAAGCAGAAGTTGGATGAAATGTTAGGAATATGTGAATCTGTAATGGATGAAAGGATGCTTCCGGAATCACAAAAGTTGAGATCACCTTCATTACATCAGCAGGATTCCTCTCACGCACATGATATTCAACAAACAGAGACGAGAGGTCATTCGGAGGATATAAAGAGCGAGAAGATATCAGATTATCCATTGTATTCTCCATCATTGAATACTTCAAAAGATGAGGAAGTAGTATCAGAAACGAGTAAAGCTACAAATAGTTCTCGTGTATTAAGTGTGCCCAAAGAGGAGGAGGAGAAGAAGAAGAAAGAGAAGAACGTTAATGTTGATGAAGAGAAAAGTGCACATTCTGTGGAAGCTCTGCAAGAGGTAGATGAAATGAAATCCTCCACCAATGGTGAAGAGCATATCAATCAGCAAGAGAAGAATGATAATACAGATTCTATTATAGAAGTCCTTCGGGGTGAGCTGCAGTATTCTCATTCCTGTATTGAACAGCAACAGCAACAGTTTATTGATGCCATTCGTGAATCTACACAACATCAGGGTGAAATGGTTAATATTATGAAGAAATTGGTACAAACTCAAAGTAGTGGGGATCACAAGCAACAAGAAGAAGAAGAGAAAGAGAATTCATTAGATTTACGAGAGTCTTGTACGTCACTATCTATTATGGAAGATGTGAAGGAATCTCAAGATGTTGAGAGTGGAAAAAACAGTAGTAACATCAGTAGCAGCGATTACAGTAGTGTGGAAATTGGTAAATATGAAGAAAAGAAGTCCTTTTGCATGGAGAATAACAGTGATAACGAAGAAGAAGAAAAAGTATCTGAAGGGGAAAAGGAAAAAATGATATTTCTGCCATCGTGGTATCAGAAACTCCCGTATACTCGGGAAGCTTCTCTAACCCGCAATATATCAAACTATCTCGCAAAGAAAGTGAATGAAATGTACATGCATGATTCCCAAGAGAAAATTCTTGCTGGCTCCTTTCTTTCTTCTGATGATGGAATTCCTGCAGTCTCTCCTTCACACTCCTTCTTAACAAAGGGGTCAAGGGCTCCAGTAGTTCATGAGGAAGTTGTAGAAGATCCTTTGGTGTCATTCTACGAACTTCGTTCTGCTTATTATCGTGCGAGACATAAAGAATGAAGGAAGTGTGAAGTGCTGATTCGGAAATAAGTAAAAGAAAAAAAAAAGAATCATGTCTTTTAATATAGTTAATATTTTTTTTTTGAGTGTTAGTTCGTATTTTTTTTGTATATATATAATTAAACTATTGACATTACTATTATTATCGTTTATTATTATCGAACATCAAATGTGTATTTTTGTTCTCCTCCATTACTCTGAATAATAATAATAATAATAATAATAATAATAATAATAATAATAATAAACTCTATATTTGGGATATTTCTGAACTGAATTTTATTTCTCCGTAATATGTTGTTTCTTTTTTTCCTTTTTTATTTTCTAATTATATGTTTATTGAGATAGTACCTCTGTATCGGAGAGTTTGAGTGATGCATAGGAATACTCTTCCTGGGACATTATTTGTGGCCCTTGCTGTTCTACTCCTGGGACTTCTTCTGAGTAGTTCCCTAGCGCCAATTGCTCGTAGAGAGTGTGATGATGGTAATATCTTTATTTTTGGTTTTCTTCTGGAGTATGAAAAGTCCGTTAATACAAGTGAAGGTAACAACTCCACTAGTCTTCAAACACATCCGTTACCGTACAAAATAGCGGAAAATGTAAAAAATAATAAGATTCGGTTTTCTGTTTCTGATTTCCCAAATGGGGCTCTTCGAACTTGTATGATTCTTTACATTATCTTAACTTGTCTTTGTGGATTATTTGCCTTGGTGTCCATTACAGCTGTTGTGATGGATACGACGATGCACCTAGTGAAATGGAATTCTTTTCAGTATCGTCGGTTGTTGGTTGTTTTGTGCCTCACATTAGTGTTTGTTGGACGTTTTATTATTGTGGTGATAATGGCCACACGTGGTCAGTTGTATGCAGAGATTGAAAATGGATGTTTTGTTCACTCTGGACAAGTCTATTTACATTCAGGATTTTCTGTCTCACTAGTCAGTCTCTGTATCTGCATTCTCGCTGATGTTGCCTTGTGGAACACTGGTTTTCGTTAGGACATCCGCTGCTGAGTGGAAAATATTGAAGGAGAGAGATCAATTTTTCTTTTTTTCTGTTTGTTTGTCCTTCTTCATTGTCTGGGTTTTTTTTTTTTTTTTTTTCTTTTTGTCTTTCTCTCTTTCTTCCTTTCTTTGTTTCCTTCAGTGTAAAGAGTATAGGAGTAGCGAGTGAGAAAAGAGGCGGGTGGATGTTGGAGGGAGAAAAAAAAAAAAAAATGAAGGATTAGAGATGGCTTGAAGTTGAAGTACATAGTAATGTGTCCTCTTTATATATTTCTTTCTCTTTTCCTCAGTTTATTTATTTATTCTTCTTTTTTTTTCTGGATTGATTAATACCCCATAGCATAATTGGGAACCCAAGTGGTGAGTTTATTATTATTATTATTATTATTATTATTATTATTATTCTTTATCGCCTTTGTTATTTATTTTTTCCTATTTTTATCTTTTTTTTTATCTTTATTCTTCTTCTATATCATCATCATATTCTTTTTTTTTTTTTCTTTTTTAACAAAGAGTGATGGAGACAAAGATGATTCTCGATAATGTTTTTCCTGTTAGCAGCGGTGTGCCGTCGTTGGGGCTGCAGGTTGGCGGGGCCCCACTGGAGGAAGTTTTGACCGCCGTCGTCCGACTCCTGCGATCGCAACAGCAGGAACTCGAGGGACTCCGCAGGGAATTGGGAGAGAGAATTAGTAATAACGAAGTTAAACTGCAAAAACATGATGAGGATATTAAAAGTCTGTCGGATGATTTGAAATTACAGGCACGTCCCATCCATTTCTACAATCAACCGCCTATACACACTATGGCGGAGGCCGTTACAAATATGGAGTCTCGTTTGGCTCGTGTAGAGAAAAAGGAAAAGAAGGATATGGCTGTACATTTAGGTGAAACCAATAATAAAAAATTAGCGATTTTATACTATAATCAATGGTTGGTTTTTAGAAAGATGCGAACGAGTGGTAAATTTTTGCTAGTAGAAACAAAGAAAAATATTTGGCAACGATACATGAGAAAGTGGAATCGATTTCTCGCTTTTCAGGCAAAGCGACGGGCCCAGCAGCGACATCTCACAAGATTATTATTAATGCATGAGAATCGTTTGTTGATGACATATTGGTATAAATGGACTGAACAAATAAAAACAAAAGAATATCATCGTGTGCAAAGAAGAATGTCAGCGTATGATAGTGCGGACTTGGTACTTCGTTTAACCTCTCGTAGTATAGCCAGACGTGCATTTAATGATTGGATGAAATTTACAGAATCTTCCATGGAATCTAGAAACTCTATAAAACGGGCTTTACTACTTGAACAGAAAACAGCTCGATTGTTAGCAGAAGGATATCTACAAAAATGGTTTGATGCACATCGAATGCGCAGAATTTTTCTTATGCGTTTGAAGGTATTGGAAGTTATGCGAACAAAAATATATCGTGATTTTACGCATTCTTATCTGAAACGTTGGTTTTCTTTTACTGAAAAACGACGTCATCGGCGTCGTATTTACTCCCTTATTCCATACTATCATCATGGCAATCTCACTGCCTTGGCGCGTCGTTATTTCTCTCGTCTCTACACCTTCCGTTTACTGCGTAGAGAAACACGTGGGAAGGAGGCATTAGAGCAACGTCTGAAGGAATTAGGAGAACGTGCAGATGGAATTCAAAGACAGTTAGATTTAGGTCTTCATACATTATCACATACAAACAGTGTATTGGCTCGTGTAGTGGACACCGTTATGATTGCAGAGGAACCACGTTCTGCTATTCAACGATTATTACATGAAGAAACATCAGATTTCATGTCTAAAGTATCGTTGGTAAATGAAGTAGAAACCCGAATACCAACGGTTAACACTTTTAATACTCCAATGGGTATTAGAGAAGCAGAACCTTCAAATGAGCGGGAATGGCAAACAGTCAAAGAGCAACAACAGAAAGAATATTCTAACGCAGGGGAAATGCTTCAGAAGCTACGTGCTCGTCTAGATAAAACATACAAAACAAGTACAAACAGTTCAAATGGTAGTGTATAAGGTTATCTTTTTTTTTTTGTGCCTGTGTGTTTGTATGTTTTTTTTATTATTTATTATTATTTATTATTCCCCTTTTCGTATATATATAATATATACATACATGTATTTATGATTGTATATTTTAGGGGTGAGGGTACCTGTTTTCTCAATATCTTTTATTATTATTATTATTATTATTATTATTATTATTATTATTATTGTCCCTATCTCTCTTTCTTTTACCCTTTCTCATTTACCTACTCACGCATACGTGTTTGTCTTCTTTTTCTCTTTTTTTCTTTGAAGAAAGGTTGCCACAATATTCTGTGTTTTATTATATCTCTTTTTCTTTTTGCTCTGCACTATTTGGCTTAGTACTACGTGACTCTCTCTATCTCTCTCTCTCTCTCTCTCTTTCTTTCTTTCTTTCTTAACCATTATTCTCATTTCCTCATAGCCACCTTTTTTCAAAGTAATAGGGAAAAGGTAGTCTTTTCTTCTTTAAAAAAAAAAAATAAATAAAAAAAAGAGAGATCTTTCTTTCTATTGATTTCATTCAGACACATGTCTCTGACAGCAGAGCTATTTGGTTCAACCGCCCCATCGTCATCGGCGGCAGCGGCAAAATCAAATGAAAATAATGGTGGTGAATCTACAAGTAAAGCCATTTCGTTTGAACCAACAAAAAAGGCTTCCTTTGATCTTTTCGCATTAGCACCACAAGTGAAGAAAGCTTCTCGTAAAGAAAAACAACGTCTTCGTGTGATTGAGAATGCGAAAACGAACAAGGGTGATCAGGGTGTTGGGGAATCAGAAAAGGAAAGTATCTTCGCCACAGTGCTTCTTGATGATGATAAAGATAAGATGGATGGAGCAGAGAAAAATGGGTCTAAACGGAAAAAGCATCTACGTCATGCACTTCACAAAAATGAAGAAGAAGAATCTCGTACAGTATTTCTTGGGAATCTTGTAAATGATGTTAAGAAACGGACGATAGAAAAAATATTTAAAAACTGTGGTACAATTGAATGTGTCCGCATTCGTGCTCAAGCTCTTGAGGAAGAAGAAGATGGACCTAGTAAACATAATAATAACAGTAATAATAATAAAAAACAGAAGAAAGGCGTTGGTCGTGCCATACGTATCCTTCGTGGAGAAATTAAAAAAGGTGATGAGTACAGTGCAGTGGCATATGTTTTATTTAAAGACAAATCATCTGTTGCGAAGGCTCTTGAAAAGAATGGTATCATTGTAGAAGGTCGTCATATTGTTGTTACTACTATGGATGCTGAAAGCACCGCCTACGCACCCGATACATCTGTGTTTATTGGAAATATTGCATATGATACGAATGAAGAGATGGTGTGGAATTTTTTCATGGACAAAGGTGTCTCTGATGTAAAGCGTGTACGTTTGGTTCGAGACCGTGAAACTGGGAAATGCAAGGGATTTGGTTACGTAGAGTTTCATCACACTTCATCCGTGCCGAAAGCCATCGCCGTGCGGGGAAGTTTACTCAACGGCCGTGAAGTGAGAATTGTGCATGTGCAGAAGTCCAAGGCACTTGGTGCCATTCAAGTAAGTAGGAGGGAAAAGCGAAAGCGTGAGGAACAGGCTGGCTATGGTAATAATGGGAAAGGTGGCGGCAAGAATGAGAGTAGAAATAATAATAATAATAATAATAATAATAATAATAATAATAATAATAATAATAATAATAATAATAAGAGATCCCGCAGAGAAGAAAAGGGGAACTCTACTCGAGAAGCTGGTGGTGATGATCAACCCTCGTGGATGGGCGTCGTGACAAATCCCCGCAAAAAGATACCGAAGGATCTCCGGCCGTTGGTGGAAGGAAAAAAGGCCCGCACGCCTTCAGGCCCGCGAGCCCCAGTGAAGCGTAAAATGCGCAATCCAGAGAAGTAACCTTTTTTTTCCAGGTTCTTTTTCTTTTTGTTTTTGTTAATATTTCTGGCTACCTTTTTTTTTTTTTTATTTTGTTGGCATTTCTGTATGGAGAAATGTTATAATAAATAAATAAAAAAAATGAGGAGGTGTTTGTATTTGTCTCTGTGTCTCTCTGTGTATGTGTGTGTGTGTGTGTGTGTGTGTGACTGATTGAGAAAATGGCGAATAATCGAGTAAAAAAAAAAAATCAAATAAAAAGGCAGGTGTCTCTCTAGACAAAAAGTAAAAAAATAAGAAATAAAAAGATGAGGAGAGAGAGAGAGAGTAGTCGAAAAGTAAAATTTCACTTTGGTTGTTTCTTTTTCATATATATGCTAAGAACAGAAAAAATGTTTTTCTTCTATTTTTTTTCTTCTTCTATTCTTCTTTTCTTTGAATTTGGTGTTTAACTTCTATTTAACTAGGGATGAGGCGTCCTTTGGTGGTTGCAGTCTGCGTTATTGCAGGTGCTTCTATTGGGGTGTTAATTGCACGACTGTTGAAATCACGTAAATATACCGCACCATATACTAGGAACTTTTCTTCAAAATACACTGATATAATAAAAAGAGAAGGAAATGGAAATGTTGAACATAGTGATGAGACCGCACGTATAATGGTTATTTATGGAAGTAGTTCTGGTAATGCTGAAGGTTATGCTAAAAACTTGGTATCGGATTTAAAAGAACGTGGTGCTGATGTATCACTTATTGATCCCTCTTCATGGTCTCATTTAAGTCAGTTTAACTCGAATCAACCTCTTTTCCCAATGAATGCGAAAGGTGAACCTCCTATTGTAATATTTATAGTTGCAACTACAGGTGAAGGAGAAGTCCCAGCCAACTTTTATTGTCTCTTTGCAGAGATGCGATCAGCTTTGCAAAAGGGAGGAACAGAAGGTAAAATGGTATTTTCTAACGTATCCTATGCTGTTTTTGCTTTAGGTGATAGCTCTTATAAGTACTTTTGTCGAGGAGGATTAGATGTCAATATGTTTCTTAAAAGAGGTGGAGGAAAAGAGTTGCTACCTGTTGTTATTGGGGATGCACGAAATCCACTACAAGAAGAAGTATTTGAAGAATGGGAAGAAAAACTTATGGGAGTTCTTGAAGAACGATGTGGAATAGTATTAACTGCTGGATCCGATGCTCCTCCTAAACCCCAATTAATATTTCAGTTTACACCTGAAAAAACTGTTAGTCCATTACCCTATATTCCACCACCTTCATTACTAGAACCATCTATGCAAAACCCTGTTCAACTTGTAGTAAAAGGGAAGAACTCACGTACAGTGCAACGAGATGATGATGGTAGTTTTATTCTTCATCTTGTTTTAAGTAGTGAGGATCACATGATAACTTATCAAGCAGGAGATCATCTTGGTATTTATCCAGCTAATTTACCTGATATAATTGAAGCGTATCGAATAGTATTAAATATTTCTGAAAAAGAATGGATGACACCTGTAGAATTGTGCACAACTGCAAATGCAAGATCTCGAGCCTCATTAAGAAATACATTTCCTGCACGTGTTACTTTACAAAAAGTATTTGAATATTATTTAGATTTATCAGGTAAACCTCGTAAGTCAATGTTGCGTGTATTAGCGAAATATTGTTCTGATCCAAATGAAAAAAAACTCTTTATGGAAATACTTAACCGAGATAATCAAAAAAATAAAAAACAAAATTCAAAGGAGATGGATTCCTCAACTCTAGAATTATCATCAACTTATTTATTTCGAACCTTACTAGATTATCTGAAAAAATTTCCAAGTTGTTGTTCTATACCTATAGGTCACTTCTTGGAGATGATGCCACGGGTTCAACCACGGTATTACTCCATAGCCTCAGATATGATGACACATCCAAAAACGATAGAAGCGTTTATCCGAATTGTTCCTGATGGAATGAATTCAAAATATCTTCAAAGTATTTCAGTTGGAGAAAAGATAACTGCCTTTATTCATAAATCTACATTTCATCTTCCTGCAAAGTGTGGTGAACGTCCAGTTGTGATGATTGGACCTGGTACAGGTGTTGCCTCTATGATAGGTTTCTGTTATCGACGGGCGGCATTGATGAAAAAACAACCAAATGCGGCATTTGGTCCAATGGTTCTTTTCTTTGGGGCCCAACGACGTGAGAGTGAGTACTTTGTACGGGAAGAGTTAGAAGGATGGTGTCCTCAAGGCGAAGGGAAACTCCCAGACGCAGAGGTGTTCCCACCTCCTGTTCTCACACTCTTGGATTTGGCCTTTAGTCGGGATCAGTGTGAAAAGTACTATGTGACAGACCTTATAGAAAAGCATAAAGATTATCTTTTTAAACTTCTTACTAGTAATGCAAATGGTGGATGCCTTCTTTATGTTTCAGGAAATGCTTCTGAAATGGCAAAAAGTGTAGATCAGGCTTTGGTAAACCTTTTAGTTTACGGTGGAATGACTCGCACTGCGGCATCTAAATTTTTACAGAACATGGAAAACGAACATAAGTTTATGAAAGATGTGTACTAATCGTGTTAAAAAAAAAAAAAATGGGAAAAAAGAAGAAAAATATATATAATATAATTATTTTTCACGATGTTGTTCTCTTTTCACCTTCTTTTTTTTTGTGTGTATATGTCCTTGTTGTGGGAACCTTATTTTGCTTCCTTCTTAAGAGGAAGAAGAAGAAAAAAAAAAAAAAAACTGTTTCGTCAAAGGCGAATATTCTCAGTTTTTTTTTTTTGTTCGTCCTTTCTTTTCATTTCGTTTTTTTTCTTACTTTTGCTTATCTTATGGAAAGAGAAGAGTCCAGTTTTGTAAGTAATACCATTTACTTATATATTTATATTTTAATCTTGCCACCTTGTCTCCTTTGTTTTCTTTTCTTTTCTTTGTGACTAAATATTCTCTCTTTCAAGTTAACTATCACACCTTTATTGGGGTTAAGAACGAAACCGGTGCTAAATTTATATATAGAAGCATCTGCAGTTGCCATGAGCTCTGATGAAATGGATGCCTTTCGTGCAGAACTACTGCGACAAAAGATAATATTTGAGGCGGAGCTGCGACGCCAAAGGGAGACATTTGAAGAACAGCTTTCGAGGATGGCGCAGGAATTAGCCGACCGGGAGGCTGACTGTCGTAACCTGCAGGCAGTTGTCACGATTCTGGGGAAAAAAATAGACTCACTTCTCGAACGCCGCGTGGCCACACCGCAGCGACGCCCCTCGCCGAGCCGGCAGCCAAACAGTCCACCCGACGATCACGCAGCACGCGAGACGGCCTCCGCTCGTCACATTCCACCACTTCGTGTCCCGAGTCCCACCACGCGACGGGCATCTCCGTTCCGGCGCAATACAAATTCATCATCCGCCAGACTCGCTCCCACAGGCTCTATCTTTCATGGGCAAAGTATTAGCAGCGTAGGGGGCAGCTGTCACAACAGCCCGGCACGGACGGCCAGTCTTAATGGTCAACGACCAAAACTTGGACACGAGAATATACCTGACCACTGTCTTGTTCGTAGAACGAGCGGTGCACGTTCACAAAAACTTAAGACGGGAGATTATTGATGACGAAAGTATAATTAATTTCCTGAAATGTGGCACACAAATATATATATATATATATATATATATATATATATATATGCGTGCTCTTGTATGTTGTCTTTTTGGTCCCTTTCGTTATCCATGTCGATGGGTTTCTGTTTTTGTTGTTGTTGTTATTATTGTTGTTCTTCTTTTGGGGTAGCGCACACGTGGATTATCTAGATATATATATATACATATATATAATATATATAAACAGAAATGTGTTTTTGTTTCGTTGTTGTTTATCTTGTGGTCCGGCACTTTTTTTAGAGGACTAGAGTGTCGGTTGCGTTTTCTCTCTTGAGTGCGCTTTTTTTCTGTCTTTTCGTGGATTGGAATGGGGAAGGGGTCCTATTATTCTATCAAACTACGTGACGGAAACTGCATCCCTTTCCCTCCCATAACCTCTCTCAAAAAAAAAAAGGTAAAATGCAGTGGGGCCCGGCGGCAATAGAATGTGCTGTTTTTGCGCTGGTGGGCAATGTATCAGCTTCACTTTTCTGACGCAGATGTTTATTCCACTCTTTTTTTTTCTTCTTGAGTATTATAATTTCTCTCTGGTTTGGCCTTCACTCGTTCAGTACTCTTCTTTTGCTTTTATTGTTTGGTTGTTGTTGTTGTTGTTGATTGTTTGGTTGGTGGTGTTTTTCTTTTTTTTTTCTCTATCGTTATTATTATCAACAATTCATTTGAAAGACGCACAAAGGAGGTGTTCTTATCCGGCGTCAGATTTCCCATTTTTAAAGGCAAAATTAACCACCAGAAAAAGGTGAAAATGGTTTCGGGTAATAGCAAAGAACCTCCGTCCGGAGTAGATAAGCGCACCTTGGAGAATATGAAAATAGCAGAAAAAATTGGTGCGGAGAGTTTTGAAGAAAATACACAAATTCTTCGAAAAATGGCCTGGCGTGGAGTACGTGCCTTTTTGGTGTGTGGCTTCGGTGTTGCTGCCTTTGGCTATGCGATGCGCCGGCGGCGTATGTATGAAGAGATGAAGCGCGCACAGGCACTTGAAGAGGAACCGACTCAGCGTTATCTTGAGGAGATGCGGGGGCTAGGTTTTGATGTGGATACCTTAGAGGAGGAACTCGAAGCGGAACGAAGGGCCAAACAACTGAAGTGAGGCCCCCCATCCCATCCCAATGGAAAGAATGGAAGGAGGGAGGAAAAAAAAGGAAGAAAGAAAAAGGTTTGACCTCTCAAGTGTTACTTTATTCTTTTTTTTTTCAATATAATGATTAAAGTAAACAAAGGGAAATTATTAGAGTAGGTTTATTTTTCTTTTTTTTTTACATGACTTTCTTTTCTTTTTTTTTCTCAAAAAAAAAAGGAAAAGGAAAAGGACTTGTAGCGGAGTCTCTTTTTTTTTTGCGTGTGCCTTGTGTGTGTGTGTGTGTTCATGCAAAATGCCATTCCTCTTACAACGGGGAGTACATTTCCCCAACGTGAACAATACGGTCAGGACAGAGTCACATGTGCGAATGTGAATGTGAATCCAAATTCGAATATGGAGTTCTATCAGGTTTTTGAGGGGTCTATGGCACGGGCACCTCCAATTCGTTGGTCAAATGCTCCCAAACGTGTACTAGGTCGATCTCATTTGATTTGCTGCTGTATTCTTCCACGCGATGGTGCAAACAGTATTTGTATTGTTGTTTTTCTCCTTCTAATTGATCTCATATTTATGATTGGTGTAGTGCCGCGTGGAGAATTTTACAGTTATCTAATCGTTTCCATCCTTTCTATCGCTGCCCTTATTTGTTTGATTTTATCTGTGACGGTTGATCCTGGAATCTTGCTACCTCTTCCCCCTGACCCAGGACGACAACCTCAGATAACCATGATTAACGGTAAAGAAGTGCTTTGCAAGATATGTCCTACGTGTCACATAGTTCGACCTCCTAGAAGTACACATTGTCAATTTTGTGACTACTGTGTTGAGGTATTTGACCACCATTGTGGTGTAATAGGATGTTGTGTTGCCAAGAGAACTTTTCGTTTCTTTGGTGGTTTCTTCATTTTTACAAGTATTCTCGCGATATTTATTCTTATTCGCTCTGCGGTGGCGCTTGCTGACACCCCTAGAGATACTGATACTGCATCAGGACGTTGGACAATTGCTGCTACCACTGTTTCTCTTGTGGTAGCTGGTTTTGCTGGTTGTATTGTTGTCCCAATGGCGGTGTATTACGTTTACCTCGGTTGCATGAACTCTACGCAGAAGGAATCCGCTCGTTTCGGCCTTGGATTGTTTGAACCAAATCGAGATTTCCATGAGGGTTTTTTCCGTAATTTCTGGCGTCGCTATTTCGGATCCCTCGGAAAGAGCCGCATTACAGCGGAAAATGCTAATATCCGTGTTTAGAACCCTTTTGGATTGATGTCATCTACACAATCTTTTTTTGTTCTTGTCATTGTCGTTGTTCTTGTTTTTCTTCAACCTTCCTCTTCGCGCGGCGAAAGCGAAAAAAAAAAAAGTGTGGTTTTTCTCCTCTCTGTGTGTTGTGTGTGTGTTGTGTGCTGGTTTATATGTTTATACACGTTGCTTAATAGTTGATATGTCACTCTTTTTTTTAACCTTTTTCTCCTTTCCTCTGAACACAGCTTTTACAAGCTTCTCAGCGAAAACACGCAGTTATGCACAATTCGTACACATGTGCCGTGGTGGGCCGCTATTCTTCGCATCCCCCGGTGCTCACACTGCTGTTGCTGGTGCTGCTGTGCTGTACCGCCGGGTGCCTCGCCGCTATTCCCCACCGCTGCATACACGGCGAGATAAGCCGGAAGAACAGGGCAACTGGGGTGGTGCGGGAGATACCCCACAGAGGGCAGGGCGCGATGCAGGCATACACCGCCAGTGCTGCTATAACCGAAGAGGAAAAGAATAAACTAAACTGGGCGCCTATCCGCATCAAGGCATTCACAAGGGATCTGGACGACCCATCAAAGTATTGCTCAGGTATTGGGGAGGTACGTTACGATGCGTTGAACGACATAATATATTGTGGAGCCAACGATATATTGACAGTGAGGATGAAGAGAATTATCGTGGAGCAGATTATTCCCGAGGCGATTAAAATGCACAGTGAGCGTCTTTCCGTGGTGCCAACCGAAGGTATTAAGGTTCCAAGGATGAGTGGAGGGTACTGCGGTTACTTCAACATCCCTGAGGAGCATCATACGGAAGGATTGGTTGATGCCGATTTGTATATCTACGTCAGCGCCATGCCGTCACGCGACACAGCCGCGTGGGCGGTTTCTTGCAGTTATTTAAAAGATAAGCGCCCCTATGCTGGTGTCATCAACCTGACTCCCTCTTATGTGAAACCCACAGATTCATTCATTCGCGTAATGGTGCACGAGATCGGACACATTCTTGGTTATGATGAATTTACGTTTGCGGCGCTGAATATCATTGGTACTCATACAAACGTTCGGGGAAAAAAAAAGGTGTGGATCATAAATACTACGAAATCGAGGGATGTGGCGAGGAAGTATTTCGACTGCCCCAATGCCAGTGGAGTGGAACTGGAGAACCAAGGTGCCGCATCAGCTCGTTCACACATTGAGGAGCGGAATGCAAGGGAAGATTTTATGGCTCCTGGGGCCATGATTGGCCGCTACAGCGTACTATCACTGGCAATATTTGACAGCATGCCATTTTACAAGGCAAACTTCGACAAGGCAGAGCCGATGAAATGGGGCAACAAATCCGGTTGTAAATTTCTGGATGAAAAGTGTATTAAAGACGGTAAGAGTTCTTTTCCCGAAATGGTCTGCGACACACCTTTTCCAAAGGTCCTGAACCTCTGCACACTCGATCGTTTGGCTCTGGGGTACTGCACACTAAAAGAACATGATTATGTCTTGGCTGAGGAATACCGGTACTTCCCCGACAACAATCGGTATGGCGGCAGCAATAACTTTATGGATTTCTGTCCCATTGTTGGACGCCACCGTGAACCCTGGTGCACTAAAAGCTTTTCGCTAAATGGTGAAGGAAGCTACGTCGGCCCGGACTCACGTTGTGTAAAAGGTGAAGGGCTCAAATATATGAAAAGGGCTATTGGTGATGTGTGCGTGAAGACGGATTGCAATAAAGAGAAGAAGAAGTTGAGGGTGCAGTTCTATGAGAGCCAAACGTGGTATGAGTGTGAGGAGGGGAAGAAGATCACGCCAAAGAGTTTTTATCTCTGGTCTGGGAATATTATCTGTCCCAAGTACGAAGAGGTATGCGACGTGCTTCCCAACCTCAGCATTGTTCTGGACCCACTGCCAGTCAAGGAAGACGACGACAACCCTGCTCCTGGGAACATCACGTGGAAGATACCTGAATCCGCAATGGAAGATCGAAATGAAGAGGGCGAAGTAAACCCATCTGTTAATGACGAAAGTGCTTCGCCCCATACTTCTAATGGTGCTGGCTCGCAGGGTTCCATCACCCATAACGATCCAACAACAGGTACGACGGTTCGGGGAGAAACGAATATTCCTGATGTGCACATCGGTGATCATGACACAATAATCGACCCAACCGAAGCACCGAGTAAGAATGTACAAGGTGGAACAACACACTTGCCTAACAACACTGCTGGTATTACTCTGAATATTGGAGTGGGTGATGGCAGTGTTACTGCTGCTGGGTGTGCACCCCTTCTGTTCCTCGTCGTTGCCGTCGCCGTGGCGGTGTCTCTGTGAGCAAACCTCTTCAAACACTCTGTCCTCCTCTGCAACTCGGAAGGACGTGTACGCAAGGAGCACAAATAACAAATCAGGTATATCTGTCAGCATTGGTTCTTTGTCTCTGTGTGTGTGTGTGTGTTGGCGACTTGGGTTAGAAATGTTTAGCACCGGATGCACTGTGACAGACGTTATATTATTCTATGGAAAGAACATCATTATCACCCCTTGAAGGACACAGCTTCCGCCCCGTACTATTTCTGTGTAATTCAATATGATGGTGGTGTCCCCCCCATACTGATGGGCAATTTACTGATTGGAAATAATAAGGTTTTTTCCACATCAATATATACTGCTTCGGCTTTGTCATTTTTGCTTATTGGTTCTTCACTATCCTTGTGTATTTCACTGTGTATGTATGTGTGTTGGACCTACTACTTTTGGGCTATCACCAATAAGGAGTTTTCAATAATTTTCTTTTTTTTGCTGAAATACAATAACCCCTTTTGACTTGTTTTTCTTGGAAAAGTATGGATATCTTTATATGTAATATATGTGTGTGTTTTTTGGCACTTTTGCTTTCCGGGGTATCATCAATAAGGGTTTATCAATATACTGCTTCGGCTTCTTCTATTGTGGACGAGTCCTTCACTCCGTGTGTGTGTTTCTTTGTGTGTGTGTGTGTGTGTGTGTGTGTTGCACCTATTACTTTTGGGAAATTATCAATAGGGGTTTTTTTAATAAAATTTTTTTGCTGATATACAATAACTTCTTTTAGCTAGGAAAATATGGATATTTGTGTATGTGGATGTAGGCGTTTGTTGGGCCGTATGCAGGTTTCTTTGCGCTGTTCAGTAGTTGATGTGTCACTCTTTTTTTTTTAACCTTTTTCTCCTGTGCCCTTTTTCTCCTTTCCTCTGAACACAGCTTTTAGAAGCTTCTCAGCGAAAACACACAGTTATGCACACTCCGTGCGCGCGCGCCGTGGTGGGCCGCTATTCTTCGCACCCCCCGGTGCTCACACTGCTGTTGCTGGTGCTGCTGTGCTGTACCGCCGGGTGCCTTGCCACTATTCCCCACCACTCCATGTACGGTGAGACAAGTCAGAAGAACAGGCCAACTGGGGTGGTGCGGGAGATACCCCGCAGAGGGCAGGGCGCCGTGCAGGCATACACCACCAGTGCGGCCATCGACTCCAGCGACTCCAAAGATAACAAGAACTTTGAACCTATCCGCATCAAGGCATACACGAGGGACCTGAACGACCCCTCAAAGTACTGCACAAGGGCGGGTGATTACTGCGATACACCCAGTTATAATAGGCAATACTGCCATCACAGTAGTGTGCTAACAGTGAGGAAGAGAAAAATATTGGTGGAGTGGTCTATTCCCGCGGCAATTAAACTCCACACGGACCGTCTCCTTGTGCATCGAGCTGAAGGTATTGTTAAACTTCGAAGAGAAGATGTTCGTGGACAATGCGGCTGGTACAACATCCCCGAGGAGCACTATACTGAGGGTTTGGGAGATGCCGATTTGCACGTTTACGTCAGCGCCGCAGCGTCAGACAGCTACTCGAGGGAGTTTACTTGCCAGAGGTTGAAGAATCACCGTCCAATTGCTGTTGCCATCAACTTGGAACCCACTTCTGTGCTGGCCACTGAGCATCATATACGTACAGTTGCACATGAAATTGCACATGGTCTTGGTTTTGATGGCACGACGTTTGCTCATCTCAAGATGATTTCTGCCGTTGAAAACGATGTGCGGGGCAAGCCCCACGTGTTTCTGGTAGTGTCTCCTAAGGCAAAAGAAGTAGCACAAAAGTACTACAACTGCAGCAAGGCCCCTGGCCTGGAGTTGGAGGACCAGGGTAACAGTGCTCTATCGCACTTTGAAATGCGCAACGTTCGGGGTGAGCTGATGTCACCTAAAGCCCCTGGAGGAGGATCCTACAGCGCACTGACACTAGCAGTTTTTGATGACATGCCATTTTACAAGGCAAATTCCTTGGTAAGGATGTGCTACCTTATCGTGGTACCGAGGTTAAGTACTTGAATTTATTCAAGGAAACTAAATGCACTCAATAAATTTTTGAAGGAGGTGGTCTCCTTAAAAACCAATTTCTTTTTCTTTTCCTTTTAACACATGTGTTCTTCGGAATGCTATCCCCTTGGTGACGTTTGGCCATCGAAAGGTGGAGCCAGGGTCCATTACCTCGTATTCTGCGGGGGAAGCCATGGGCCAGTAAACTCTGGTGCGGAGTTTTACTGGTTTCATAAGCTACAAACGTCATACAGCACCGGGGCCAGCGGAGTCGTGCTGGGACAAAACTTTATCCAAGAAGGCCCTGGGGCGCGTGCCGGCGTGCCATCAGCAGCAGTTTTCTTTTACATGATTCACCTTAGTGTGAATGCTGCT